TGGTGTGAGGTGGGCTGTGCTGCAGCTTGCTGCAGCGTTTGTGACCTCGCATGGCGTAGGGGTGTGCTTGGCAGGGCTTGGTATCACAGCCAGACAGGTATGACCGGATAGCCCAAGGACGTGGCCATTGCCTCCAAGTGATGCAGTGAGGAGCCAGGATGCAGCACAGGAAGCGCCAATTAACCTGACAGGCATCAAGTCGCCAGCTTCCCTCTGTGTGGCCAGCAGAGCTCTTTATTACAGTATCTGCAAGAATGTCTTTTGTCTGGTGGCAGTGCATCGGTGCTCGAGCGGTGTAAAGGCGTGGTGCAGACGTAGAGGAAGGCCGAGCTGGTGCAAAACCTATCATGTTCTGCTGTACATCGGCAGAGGCACGCTCAGGATGAAGCAGCGGATGCTCCAGAGGTATCAGCGGCATTGGTGTTCGGCTGAAGGTAGATCCAGATGGCCTCGTTGGTGTGCATGAGCGTGTATGACCCCTGTGAGTGAACGGTGGCCATGTGTGGCGATGGTAGAGCCTGGACAAGTAGCCCGGAGGGTAGTCGGACCGTGAGGTTCGGGGCTCTTGGCGGCGGTCTCGCCGTGCCGGTTGGTCTCGTCCCATCCACCGCCGCAGGTCTTGTTGAGGGTGGACGATATGGAGTCGGCGGTGGTGGTCCCGCCGGACCCGGTGGGGCAGGTACTGGTGCAGGTGGCCCAGCCGGTGTCGGCATGGTCCAGTTGTGCCCCAGGAGTCGGGGCCGTGGCGCTGGGGGTCCACCGGGGCTTTTCGGTGCATCATGTCCATCAGGCGCTCGTGGTCGTAGCATGGAGGGAGGCCGGTTGATTCCTCGCCAGGTGTGATCCACAGTAGGCGGTGGTGGTCCCCCAGGAGCGGGACTTCTTGATCACCCCTGCTGCTTCGCCAGGGCCTGCTTCCGCAAGCCTAACCAGTCTCCGTCTGGGCCGTGGTCGTGAGGAACTCGAGGGCTCGGTGATGCCACTCTCCTCCTCCACATCAGTCGATCGAGTGGGGCTCCCATGGCTGGTATCCATCGGCACTGGTACCACGCTGCTTTCAGCGGCAGATGCACTAGCTTCTCGCAGTATGTCCCTCCATCTCCGGGGGTGCGGAACTCCCGTGATATCATCAAGTGCCTCGGTATCATCGGAGTTGGGTGAGGGAGGCCTCCTCTGCCATGATTCACAGCGCACCTCCGGGCAGTATATGCTCCAGGTGCTACATGTATGCTGAAAGATTGAGCCGAAGTGCACGATCAGTCGTTGCAGGAGCGCTGGGGCAGTGCCACAGTTGTCGGCAGGATTGGCCAAACACTTGAGTGGGCAGGCAGTCCGACATGAACAGTCACTCCTGCCTGTTTCAGCTTGGCACAGCTCTGGATGTAGCACATGGTTATCAGGCCATGGAATCGCCTCCGGTACGAGGGACATTTGAGGGCAATGCATGGAGTGATCCGCACACCAGTATTCCAAAGTGCCCCACCAGGGGCTGAGGCGATGGATTGTCGCTGACGCCCGACAAGGAGCCAACACTTGCAACGGCCAAGGATTGAAAGCACGGCACATGCATGACAACCTGAGTGGATATGTCCCAAGCATTTTCCCTGCCAGCAGAATCAGGGGCTTCACACATCGCTCTATCTGATACGGAATTGTTGCAATCAGGCCCTGCAAACACTCATACATGCTGATTTCACTGGGATACAGCACATCCGGTGACATACCATCAGAGCCCTCCGTATGTGAGGAGCCAGGACATGAAGGTGTCGAGAGTGGTCGGCCAGGTATCACGGGCACAAAGCGTCCATTTAGCCTGCATGTCATTGCAGAGGGACTAGACGGACATCGACATACATGACTGAGAACGGGGCTGTGTGACCCCGTGGGTGGATCGGTCCGATCAGTCCGCAAGATGGCATGCAATTGTGCCAGAACACTTACCTGCTCAGGAGGGCTCATGGCAACAACTGCTTCATCAATTTCTCTGGCAACTTGTTCTTGCCATGTGCTCAATGAAGTGGTGACCACATTGGGGCTCGCAGTGTGATTGTCCTGCAGACGTCGAGCTCTCACATTTCGACTCACCATGTGACTGGGCGGTGTAGTATTGATACCAGAACCCTGTGTCAGAGTCTCAAGAGCTGGAACTTGTTGTGGAGGATCTGTGAGTCCAGCAGGGGAGGCACACAAAATGAGCGTGATGCGGATTCGAGACTCAGGTGCAGGCACTGTGGTGTCACTTTCGACTTGCATCGTGTGTCCATGCGAGTCGGCTGAGGCTCGCAGTGATGCCCAGGCTAGAAAGCAGAAACGTACCCATTGTCGAAGGCAGGTGAGCTCTCTCCAGCCTTGAAATATCTGTGCCATCATATCCGCCTGAGGCGGGCGTGAGAGGCCGTGAGGTGGGAAGGGAGAAGGCCGAGGATTACATCTAAGGTTCAGGCGAGGATCACGGTGTGCGAGTGCGAGCAGAGAATCCAGCCTATCCAAAACCCCGAGCCAACTGAGTTCTGGCGGCGAAGCACGGTGGTCCACGTCGAGAGCTGCACAGTCGGATGAAAAGTGACAGAGAAAGGGACAGCTGTGGCGATGCTTAGGGCAAAGTATCCTGTCTTTTTGCCAGTAATACCGTAAGTTCGAGGCTTCAGCCAGCGTCCACAGTGTTGTACAATCCTGCAGGGCAGTCGTGCTCCTAGTGTGTGGAACTTGCATTGCAAGCCTGTGCGTGGTCCTGCAAGGGAGCGGTGTCCGCGCATCCCACAGATAGCCAGCCTGAGCAAGGCAGCCACGGCAACAGCGGTCGTGATTAAATGCGGGCGAAAGTGAAAGCATAGCGCTGGTGCCCTGCCTGTGGTGCGGTGTCCGCATACCCTGGCATAGGTTCAGATGAAGGTACAATGCCTGCCTTTGCTCTGGTCGTCTACTACACTTCAGGGAGCAGCACTGTATAAAGATCCGCCTGGGGTGTGGTGGCCGCAAACGCCCACGATGTTCCTGCTGGACCTGCACATATGAAGTGACGAGGTTATTACGGCTAACGGGGTTGGGCTGAGGAGTCCACCTATTCTGCAGCTGCCCGATGTGCTGCAGGTTGTGCCGGTGGGTGTCCTGCCACCGATTGAGCAGCCGCTGGTTTATATGGTATGTCTGGCTGTGTGGAGCAAGGATCCTGCCTCGGGGTCGTAGGTGCAATGGGCGTGGCAGACGTCTGCGCTTGGGGACCGTCTCTTGCAATTCGGTCAGGGTGGTGGGTGCACCCGCTTGATCTTCAGTGAGCGTAGCTTGTCCACTGCCAGAGCTCGCAGAGGGAACCTCCGGAGGCGTGGTGCCCCCATACACCAGTGCTGTTAGACCGCCATACGGATTGAGGAAGTGCCATTCGCCCGTGTCTTCACATGAAAGTAGACCTGGGCGCGGGCCTGCCAATCCAGCCTGTTGCTCCACTGTGCCCGTTGCTTGAAGCTGACGCAGCATGTCCTGGGTTACCACCTGCACATCTTCACTGGCAATAGACATGGCCAAGGCGTCCCCAGTGGCAGCGGCAGAGTCAGTTCCCATGTGGGCAGGAGCATCCAGGGTGGCCATTGTCGCCGAAGCCGATGAGGAGCGCTCGAGTGCAAGGAGCTGGTTGTTCGGTGGACCATCCTCCTGCTCCATCGGCTGCACCATATCTTGAGGAGGAAAGAGGGCAGCGACATCTGCATCCTGAGTGATCAGGTGCTCCAACTCAGCCTCGTACTGTGCCCTGGCCTGTGCAGGTGGCGCTTTGCTGGTTGGTGGTGTAAAGATATCAGGCCTCTTCTTGTTGTCGTCACGACCAGCGTTTGTGGAACCAAAGAGCCACCAACAGAGCACCAGGTGGAGCAGTCGGCGGCCCATGGCTGGATGCAGAGCTGCCCGAATCTAAGGGACGGAGGAAACCCCCAACCCAGGGGAGGGAGAACGACCCTCAACGACAGCAAGCACAGCTACAGCCCTTCTACACTTTCCTGCTAGGAGCCTTAGGTCATGATTCATGCGTGTCAAAACACCTGGGACAACAAAAACCCAGTGCGTTCAGACAACGCACACTGCAAGACCTAACCCTAGTTGGGGAAGAAAGGGTAGTGCGACATGCCTAGATCCCAAGACCCTGCGGGAGGGGGACCAGGGGAAACAACGTCCAACCCTATGCGCACTGTCCTTTTCACGGGTGCTGCTCTGGGCGAGTTGGCATCAGGCCGGCGGCCCCTCAGGCGAGAGGCCTCCGGGCCTGATAGGCGGCATACCCCCACTTTAGCGGCCCAGGGCAGACCAGTGAAGTTAAGGCCAGGCATCTCCCACCGCGTGTGGTCTGACTTAGGCTTGCGCAGGGGACGCTATGTCAAGGAGGCCCTGGCTCCACGGCGTACTGGCAGAGGCCAGGGTAACTTCATGTGCCGACTTTTGCAGGTGTGCGAGCTGCACATCAAATCTCCGTGCTTGACGGGAGCGGATGTGAGTCGCTTGAGTTCTTGGGGCTACGGCTAAGGTGGCTCTGTCAAATCGTGCGAGGGCCAGAACGACTTGAGAGTCGCCCAGCCTCGATTTCCATTCCTTCGTGCCTGAGTTCTTGGGGGGCTCATGACGACACACGCCCACGTGCGACGCACAGCGATGCCATCTGTGCTATTTTGCTACCGCCCATCACGCACTTTGCCCTGAGAGATGGCGCCCCGCGGCACGTCCAACAACATGACGCAGGACAACTGCCTGAATTCGCGCAAGAACGTGCCAGTGAAGCCCACAGGCAACGGTCTTTCTTTCTGAACCTTTGGAGAAATCGAGAAAACACTGGAAAATTCAAGGCACACTGAAATTTGACAGAAGATTAAGCAGAAGAAACTCTGCTTTCTTTCAGGCTGGGTGCCTTCAATTTTTTTCTTTCGTTTTGGTTGCGTGTTGCATTCCCACGGCCCAAATTTTTAGTTAGTAGATTCGTTCTTCTTCTCTAGAGAGGACTTAAAATAGTTAGCGCAGCAATGGAATGGCCCGCTTTGCAGGGCCAGGAGCTGCAAAAGCTGAAAGGAGTATTCGCCACTCCGCAGAAGTTGGAGGCAGCTTTTGATACACTTGCACAAGCAGCCGAGCTGGTCGAAGTTTTCTTGCCAGGTACAAGTCCCGAAGGGCGACGAGAGCGTGCTCAACTTCTTGTGGACTGGGCCGGGAGACAGGGACAGCTCGTTAAGCGTCTGAGGAGAGAGTCATTCCAAGGACTTTGGGAGTCTTTACCTGTGCGTAGTGTACATGCTGATGTCAGCAAGAGATTTGATGAGTTGGCTAGACAGAATCCACTGTCTCTTTTGCCTGGTTTGGAACGCAGACGCCGAGCAGCAAGGACAAATCTGGATTCCGCAAAAAGAGCGCAACAGGAGAGTGATGAGCGTGAGAAATACACATTGCTGTTGGCAGAGGTTATAAGGCAAGCCAAGTTGCCAGTGGTGGCGCAGTTAGATGCTGTCAACGATGACGGGAGGTCCTGGAAGCGCATCTTTGGGACGAGACGTAGCAAGACGCTGCGTAATCGGTTTCGTTCTTGGAGGGCCTTTTCACGTTGGCTGGAGACATCGTATCATAAGGTCTGGCCATCAAGCATTGTTCCATTGCTGGAGTATGCGGATGAGAAATACAATGACGATTGTGGGAAAACTGTTTTGCCTAACTTTCAAGCAGCGTTGACTGTGTTGGAACAGGCCGGGAGGGTACCGGAAGCTGAGATGCTCTCGCGAGACCCTACCTGGTTGATGCAGCTAGCATCTTATACAGCAGATCTGGAGGCAGCGCAGCCCGAGCGCAAGCAGGCTCCGCTGTTTACTGTGGCCATCGTTGTCGCGCTAGAACTGTATGTCTGCCTTGAGAGCGAACCTGAATATGCACGTGCTATGGGCTGGGTCGTATTGTTGATGGTGTATGCCTCGCTGCGGGCCGATGATGTTCAAGCCATTCGACCGGAGACGATGGAGATCACCGTTTCTGGCTTCAGGGCAAAGCTGGGACGCACAAAGACGACAGTATACATCTTCGTAAAGCGTGATGTTGGTCTTTCAGGTCAGGATTGGTTAGCGACTGGTTTTGAGCTGTGGGAAAAGTACAAGCAACCACGTGATTTTCTGGTCTTGGAAGCAAATAAGGGTTGGACGGCGCCGACCAGCAAGGGTGTTGACAGTTCTGGTGTGGCTCTTTACATGAAGTCAGTCCTTGGCAGATTGGGAACACCCAGGCTGGTCAGTGGGAGTTACAGGCTCAACGAGCATCGAGGTCTACTTCCTGATGGAGCCTACAGGATGTACACTGGACACTCGCCTAGAAACTTTCTGGCCTCCGTGGCAGCAGCTATAGGTGTGCGAAAGGAAGACATCGATTGGCTCATAAGCATGAGAGTTTGCCATGCACATCACAAGTACTTACCCGTTATGTCCGTCAGATCAGACCAAAGCTTAGCTTCTCCGCTGTGTCTCTCTTAATCCATGGGATACGCACGCCCATGCACAGAGATTCACGCAATGCCCCATTTCCGAACATGGTGGCACCTATCACCTCTTTCGAGGGGGGGCCAGATCTGGGTGGAGGACTGCCATGGATCGGTGCCAGAGATGACCCCTGATGGTCTCAAGGTTGGCAAAGACCTGGAGGTGGCAAAAGGGCCCGTCGTCTTCGATGCCTACAAAGCTTTCCATTTCACCCTAGCGTGGGAGGGCGAGCGCCTGGTGGTGGTGGCTTACGTCACTGACCACTTGGACACACTGAAAGACGTTGAGAAGCAGGTTTTGGAGCGGCAGGGCTTTCAGCTGCCTTCACAGGAAGCTGAGACTTCGGAGGCCATTGAGCTAGAGTTAGAGTTTGGAGTGCCCCATGGTCGCTCACAACCGGGAGCTGAACCCGTCTTCAAGCCTGAGCTCTGCGGGAACCGTGGGCTTCCACTACAAGCAGAGTGGGAGGGCAAGAAGGAGCCACTCAATGACGGATTAGGATTGTGCTCACCTACATGCTGGCGGCCGGCGGATAAGGGGGCCACTCTTTCCCCGTCAAGCGTGGTGCTCTGCCGAGATATGTACCAGATGTGCATGGAGTTCGTGGGGCGAAATGTCAGCTCTCCCAAGGAACTTTGCGAAAAACTGGCCGCCGGAGAAATCACGGAGTCACCTTTCGGCGATGAGGAGATGCAGCAACTGCGAGAAAAGTGGTGTCGGCGAGTCGGTGGAGATGACTGGAAACATTGTATGGAGATTCCTAAAGGACAACCCTTTCTCTTGAAAGCGGTGGCTAGGACTGCAGAGGTGATGGGCGACCCCGACTGGGCCTCCATAACCGAGGGCACGGACAACTTCTGCACTGGGGTACCCATAGGTTTTGGCGAGGCGCTGCCCAGGTTGCCCCAAGTCTTCGAGCCGAAAGCGAAGTGGAGAAAGTTCGACGAGGATCTCCCGGAGCGGGATCGCTCCAACTACACCAGTGCGTCCTTAAACTCGCAGCAGCTGCTAGAGAAGTTTCGAGAGGAAGTGGAGCTCGGTCGGATGGAAGCTTCGACGCATGGAGCGTTGAAGCAGCGCTATGGTGAGGAGAATCTACGCATAGCCTCCATGGGTGCCATCCAGAAACCCGATGGATCCGTGAGACCGGTTCATGACGGGACCCACGGATTACACGTGAATCAGTCCATAACTCAGCACAACCTTCTTTCAGTTCCGGGTCCTGGAGAGCTAGCCCTACTTGTCAGACAATCCCAGGAGCAAGTTGAGACACCCTTTGCCTTGGCTGGGGACGTGGCCGCCGCCCGCCGCTTGGTGCTGGTGCGCGAAAGAGACTGGGGGCTCCTGGCCTGCCGTGCGGAAGCTGGGAGCGACACCGTCTTCGTGAACCGAGTCGGAACATTTGGAATCTCATCTGTTTTGTTCTGGTGGGCTCGCCTTTTCGGCGTAATAGGCAGGGTGGTGGGGCGCGCCATGCTCAACCACTTCTTCTTTCAATTGGTTTTCGTAGACGACCTACACACCAATTTCTTTGGACACCGGAAGTATGTCAACGCTCTGATCTGGCTGGTACTTTATCTTATGGCAGGAACACCTTTTGCCTGGAAAAAGTTTAAAGGCGGAGCCAGGATCGCCTTCATTGGCTATGAGCTGGATTACACGGCCCGACTGGTGGGGCTCAGCAAAGTGCGAGGTTCAGACTAAGAAGTTCGCCGAGTTCTTAGGTGGTTGAAACCGCACCTGGCACCCCTTTATGCCTGGTCATCGGCCACGCGTAGATGCTCGGTCGGGAAGCTTCCTGACACGGTGATCTTGACTCTCCTCTACATCGAGGAAGCTCTCGTAGCCAAGGACTACAAAGTGTCCCCTGCCAGGGTGGACCCAAGTGACAAGCCTCTCTTCTTCACCGATGCAAAATGCGAAGATGGCCTGGTTGTGCTTGGGGGCTGGGATGCAACATGTCCCTTGGGCAGGTCACGCTGGTTCTCAATTGAGGTGCGACCACATGAGGCACCTTACTTGTTCGACGAGGAGCAGAAGTCACAGTGGGCATCTGCGTCTGCGGAGCTCTTGGCAACTTTAGCTGCGCTATACTTGTTCGGACATTTGGGAGAACCCACCAGGGTACGACAGCTCCCAGTCGTTTTCACCACTGACAACAAGGGCAACGAGTCTTTGTCCAAAAAGCAAAGCGCAACGAGGTGGCCGCTCATGCTCATAAACATGCAGCTGTCACATTTGCTCGCCCTATCTAGAATCAGGCTAGCTCTGAACTGGCGTCCGAGGGGTGAAAATCAGCTTGCGGATGATCTCACTAACGCCAGGTTCAGCTCCTTCAATCCCGAATTCAGATGTTTCAGCTCATTCAGCGACCTTCCTCTCGAGTTGCTCAGCAAGCTTTAGGACTTTGGGAGACGAAGTCCCAGTTTGATGCTCTCAGGCATTCCGTAAGTCTGCAAGGTACGTCTCAGTCACTGTCGAAGAAACGGCCACACGAGCGCACACCATGGTGACGTCCACCGCAAGGGTGGATAGGGGGGCATTGGCGCACACAGCGTGCGTTCGATGACCGAGCCCGCCGGATGAGACAAATCCGCCACTTGTTGGAGAAAGAGGAGAGATCAGTAGAGAGTCACCGCTTCGGGGTGTGGGAGGTTTCTGGTTGTTTCTGGGATTTTATTTCTCTGGGGTCTTGCGTTGGGAGCCGGGCTGAGGTTCTCTTCCCTGCGGATTCCTTGGATTGGATCTTGGAAAAGGGGTCTCTTGAGATCACTTATTCTTGGATGTTATATATATATATATATATATATTCAGATGGATAAATTTGAGTTTCAGATTTGAGCCCTGAAGTTTTCACTCTACAACGCTAGCCCGCAAAAACAGTATGGAGTTGCCCATGAACTGACCAAATGCAGACGTTTTGTTGCGCTCTTGCGCATGAGCAGTCACTCCTCCTGCATCCACCGTCGGCTGAAGCAGCATCCTTCCCAGCTCTCCGGGATCATGCCCGCTAGCAGAGCCTGACCCCATTTTCCGGCCCACAGTCAGGATGGGAACCTTGAGTGCAATGCTCAAGAATTCGTCGGAGAAGTGCAGCCACACTGTGCCACGCGGTCCTGTAAGTTGCTTGACACAAGCAACACTTGCAACTGGCACTGTACTTCTCGAACGAAGAGTTGCCATGGGATTTTTTACCGCCGTTGCAGGTCAATGGCCTGCAACATTGCCAGGCAGTGGAAAGATGTTCCGAGAGTCGCATGTCCACCGCTGGCGCATCATCATAGTCAACCCTTGTATCTTCCGACGGAGTTTAGCCAACGCGCACTGCATGACCTAACTGTGTATGAGAGGCCAACCACCTAAACCAGGAAACCCTTGGAGTTAGGGTAAAAGGTTCAACACGCACTTACCTCTTTTCTGACGGGTTGCTGCTGGGCTCTCTCAGGCAGGCAGGCGGCTGTGTACCTCCTAGGCCCTAGGCTAGCACGTGTGAAAGTACTTCTTGTAGCGTTGTTCTTGCAGCGAGCGGGGCATGGGCGGGCGGGCGGGCGAACTGAAATCAGGCCCCACGTGCAGGCTAGGTCGGGGCTGGTAGCCATTTTGGCTCAAGCCACACACCAAACCAGTACAATGCTGGCTAGCTTTACTTTTGACGCTTGAACATTGCCTCGCAGAGCAAGAGCTAGACATCTGAGCAAGACATTCGATGCAGCTTATCTTACATTGCATTCCTAGGTAATTTCTTTCCGCATTAGGCGGCGTGCAAGCGTTCCCTCGGGGAACGCGGATGTCGTCCGGCTTCGGCTGGCTCCCTCTCGGGCATCACATCAGTGATCTCGAGGACTTGGCCTTGCGCAAGTTACTTTGGTCTTCGGTTTGGGATTTTTCGGATAAAGTTTCTCGGGTCCAGACCCAGCAGTCTTGCTTTGACATCCACCTGGGTTCCCGAGCACTTTACGGGTTGCATTCTGTTCCAGTTGATCGTGCAGATCATCTTTGGGCACTCCGCACCACTCCCCGAAGTCCGCCTTAATTCCTTTGGTCTTTGAGATGTCCACTGACCTGACACCGCATGCTGCAATCATGGCAGTTGACCTCATTGAACCTTCCTCTGGGCATCACGCAGAGCACGACACTGCGGCTTTTTCGCCAGTCAGGGTCAAGCGTTATAGGAATAATCCTCTGGGTCCAGGGCGTGCCGCGGCTAGCGATGTGCTTGTTGCTGTCTCAAATTTTGATGAAACTTTGGGGGAGAATGTGCCACGCGAACTCCTCCTGTCACCTCCACTACCGGTGTGTTCGCAATCCTTTATCATGTCTGCAACTCCCAAATCTTCAGCTGCTTCAGGTTCCTGGTCGGTCGTTGCTTCTTTGCATTCCTGGGACGACCCTGGACCGCCCGACATCAAAGTCACATCCTTTGCCGGCACCTAATCGGACTCTCTGCCCTAGGACTAGGCCTTCGGTTGCTTTGGTTCCTAGCGCAACACCTTTGCCAGCCCCCACTAGGCTTAATGTGCATCGGGCTTACCTGCCGTTGGAAGCGCCTCTGCCTCCTCCAAACTATCAGCCTGCCCGTGTATACTCAATTTACCCCTCAGAAGCTCACGCTACGCAGGTACTGGCTCCACTTCAGGAAGGGGTAACGTCTGCCTCAGATGCTGAACCTCCCCATCTCTCCTCTCTTGTTCGCCCTTTCCCAAAGGGATCTGCAGCATTGAAGTCTGGTGATCACACCACCGCACTTTGCCCTGAGACCGCTGCGAATGCCTCCAATTTGAGGGGGGTTGTTCTTCAGAGCACCCTGCATTCTGAGGCCTGGGATGCCGTCTTGTTGCTCTGGCGCTCTTTGGTAGACATCATTGGCCCTTACAGTTCGGTGCTGCAGCAGCTTCAGGGGTCACCTAATGGCCCTGCTTTGACATTGAAGCTTTTGCAACTCAACGCAGACACAACTGCTTTACGCTATGTCAAAGCTTGCCTGGCCTACTTCGAATTTCTTATCGACCTCGGACACTCCTTGGATAATCTTTCCCAACTTGCCGCAGTTGAGGCAGTCTATGCTTTACACTGCAGCCGTTCCCAGGACGATGACTTTTCTCTGGACCGGGAACAGATTGCTTTGGTTTTTCCGCTCAACACCCTGAAGGCACTGCGTTGGTTGGTGAAGACCGTGACCCTTCACTTCCCAGACCTCTACTCAGGCCTGTTCAGAGCTTTGTCCGCTCAGCCATCCTCAGATCGTTCTGAAGCCATGCCGCTTCCTTTGGACTTTGTCGCTTTTCTTGAATCAGTTGTGCTTGATCCTCTTTCCGCTCCTGAACTTGCTCTTTTTGCCGGCTCCGCATTGGTATGTATATGGTCTTCGCTACGCTTTGGGGACGCTTCCCACGTATCCTGGTCAGCTCTTCTGTTTGACCCTCAAGCATTAGTCATTCGCGGCCTTGCCTATCGTACAAAAACATCTCGGCGTGGCATGGCTTTTGCTTTCTACGCGGAGGGCATATATGGCCCTTGGGGTATTCGCTGGCTCCAGCTTCTGGCTGCCTTGTGGGGTTCTTTGGAACAACTCTCCCCCAATGTGGTTCCTGACTCCCTCTTTTTCTGCTCCTCACTTCTGGATGACACTTGCGACTTTGCATTTTGCCCCGCATCATATGCATCGGCACTGCGTTGTCTGCGCTCAGCCTTGAACATGTGGGGTCGCTTAGGGTACGATGCGTCTCGCAATTTCACTTTGCATTCTTGCAAGGCGACAGTCTTGTCCTGGTGCTCGCAGCTTGGCCTTGGCGACATGGCACGCCGTGAGCAGGGGCATCACCGCACCACATCAGTCACTCTTTATGGTCGAGATGACACGCGCGCGGCCCTAGCTCTTCAGGCCTCGATCCTTGGCAAGATTCGCACTGGCGCTTTTCGTCCCAGCATTTCCCAACACCGCGGAGCCCAGTCACCGATGGCAGAGCCACAGCTTTTGGTCAGGGAAGGTCTTGCGACTTCTGGTCTTGATGTCCCCCGTCGCTTTCGGGGAGGTTTCTCTGAGCACAGTGCGGACCCCCTGACAGCAGCAGCTCTTCCTTTGATACCCAGCCAGTCAACTTCAGCGTCTAGTGAAACAATGTCTCAGGCCGCATTTGCACCTTTGGGGAAGTCGCCAGATTTGCATCCTGGCATCTTCTTGGCTTCAGCTAAGACCGTACACAGAGTGGTCGACTGCGACGTTGCTGTGTCGCAAGCATGCTGGCAGGGAAGGGCGCTGAAGACGGCTTGTGGAGCGGTCGTTCGCAATGAATGGACAATACTTTTTGAGCTTGAGGCACAGGACGCTTCTGGGGCACGCCGTGCGCTTTGCAAATGGCCTTCCTGCTTTGGCAGTGGCCTCTGCCTTTGACCTCAGATCATCTTTTTCGGCGGCGAATACCAGTAAAAGGATCTCGATTTCGCTTAGTCTTGCATCACTTTGCTTTCGAGTTTTGTTTGCTTTGCATTTTAGTCAGTGCTTGGATCAGAACTTCAGTGCTTACTCGCTTCACATCGGCCCAGCTTTTGGCTCTTACCTCCTGTGGGGGGGATCGGGATTGCAGAGCTTTGTCCCTTGGCCTAGCACTCAGAGATTCTGAACTGCAGGTGAGCGTCTTGTGTAATAACTACACAGCGGTTCAGTGCTTCGCGTTCGCACTCAGAGCTTGTGCATCTTCATTTCGCCGCTTTACCTCAGAGCTTTTTGCTTCGCTCTAGCCTTTCCCATCTTTGACACGGGACTTGTCTTTTGCTTTGGTGGCTCTGCCCACCCTTGCTTATTGCTGGCTGGCAATGGCAAATACTGACATTTTCCTGGGCCTGGCAGAAGCTGATGTCAACAAGGCAGTGGCGTGGCTGGAAGACGCGCGCCACATGCCGGCGTCCAGTGGTTTTTCGCCAACGCAATGGCTGTGGCATTGGCTTTCGTCTACGCCAGCCTTTGCGCCTGTAACGGAAGCTGCGGAAAAGATGGACACCGTCTTTGGCTTTAGCTCTGGCGATTGGGCTTTTCATTGGATCGAAGAGATGGAAAAGGCTACCCTGAACCCAGGTTCAGCAGCCTCCCAGGCCGCGCCGGCGCAGACTGCTTTGGACAGCAAGTGGCCGCATTTTCCTAATGGCCACCGCTCCCTGGGATTGGCACCGGCAGACCTTCTCCGTGCTCATGCGTGGTTGGAGGAGGCCACTTCTTTCAATGGTGCCGGTGGCTGGGAAGAAGACGATTGGCTTCGCTACTGGATGGAGCAGGATCCGGTCTTTGAGACTTTGCTTCAGCGCGCTAAGGAGGCTGACCATGGCTGGAATATTGGTCAATGGCTTTGGCTTTGGGTGTCGCAAGCCGACCGACCTCAGCCACCGCCGGCGCCTCCTTTGGACACCGCGCCGCTTCTGGCTACCGGCATTGGGCTGGACGCTTTCCCGCTCAGCCAGCACAATGAGACGGTTATCGTCCGGCAGATTTACTGCCGTTCCACATGTCAGGACTGCGGGGCTGGCCATTGCGGGGTCGTGCTTACACGCGAAGACTTGCCTCATCGGCACCGCTGTGGCATTTGTTACAAAGCTTTTAGAAGGGCACAAGGGCAACCCTGAGAAAGCTTTTACTTCAGCATTTGACCTTTGTTTTGCCCTCCTCTTCCTCGGCTTTGCCCTTTTAGAGGGACACAGTGCATAGAGCATTTCTGGCTTTGTTTCGCCGCATTTTCCCTCAGCAAGCTTTAGGCTGCTCGAGGGCGTTTGGCATCGGAGCACGCCGATGGAAATCAGAGCTTGTGTGCGGCTTCGGAGCTTCTTTCATTTTGGTTGCTTTTGTGTACTTTCCTTTTATACCTGTTCTCGCGCCCAGGTCTGGTTGTGGACGCTACATTCTTCCAGGCGCACATCTCAGAGGGTTTCGTCCTTTCCTTGGATTAGCCTGTTTTGGCTTTGCACTGGCTTTGCGGTCTTCTTCTGTGCGTCAAGCGCTTGTATCGGCTTTCCCTGCTTTTCCTTTGTCACTTTGGCCGACACAGGTTCTATGGCCGACCCAGGGAGCGACAATGGGCGAGGCCTTCTCGTGCCGCCGACTCCCTCAGACAAGCTCTCAGTTCTTTGGGAATCTTTGAACCTTGATTTCCCGGAAGAGGTTGCCTCCCATTCGGAGTTGAACCGCACCATTCGCAATTTTGGGTTCTTGGCGACCTCCTTTGATCAGTTGGATCAGTGGTTGGAGTCGCACGGTCTCCTGGACTTTGGCTCCGGGACACATGCGGACCTCCGGTGTCTTTGGCACAGGTCACATGCCTTGGCTTGCTCTGAGGGACACACAGCAGCTGTGCCCTTTCCGCCGCAATCCCCTGCTCTGCCCTTGCCGCAGGACCAGTCCCTCAGCTCGGCTTCAGACCCTAGCCGCACCGTGTCTGCTGCCGCGTCATGGAACGAGCCTTTCCCAGCTAAGCTCTCTTCAGACAAAACGGCCGAGCTTCGAGCCGCTTTTCTGCGGAAATACCCTAGCGAGGTTTTGGACGACTCCACCATGCCTTCGGCTCGTCTCCTTGCTTTGGCTTTTAAACAAGCCTCGTCCCAAGAATGGCGCTTCATCCCTTGGCGTTGGCGCATGTCAGTGCTTGAGCTTGAAGAGCAGCAGTTGCAGCGCCCCCGCAAACTGGCCAGGACTGAGTTGGCAGACCTCATTTTGGATGATGTCCCCTCTCGGAACCTCCCGGACACACTGGGCATGTTTGCATTGAGCAAGATTTTGCACCTGCACAGTGTGGCGATGGCCATGGTCACTGATGTGCATTTGGTGACGCTTAAGAAGTACGAGTCCACTTTCCTCCGCTTTGCTTCGGCTCGCTTTGACAGTAGCAGTGGCCTTCGCCCACCCAATGCATTGGAATGTGAGCAAGCAGATCGTCGATTCTGGGAGGCCGTGTCCGAACTCCGTTTGCAAAGTTGGTCTTTGGACGACTGCATCCATGAGAACACAGCCGTCCGCAGCGAGCTGGCCTCTCTTTTGGCACCGCGCGTTTTCCTGCCCAAGGCTTCAGAGGGCAAAGGAGCAGGGGGAGGAAAGGGCAATGGCTCCGGTGCTGGCTTTGGCAATGGACGAGGACGCGGCAAAGGCAAGGGGGATGGACGAGGTCGTGGGAGTGGCCTTGGCACCGGTCGTGGGGGATCCGGTCTGGGCAACCAAGGCAACTCCGCGGGGACCTCCACAAATCGCCAGGAGTGGGCATCCTCCGCAAAAATTAACGGAGAAGTCAAGACCCTTTGCATGCGCTGGAGTCAGCGCACAGGATGCAAAAATCCATCATGCCGCTTTGAACACCTTTGTCCCGTGAAGCTTCCCAGTGGCAAGATTTGTCTTGGCAACCACCCGGCTTGGCAGCATACTGACACCCCGCATTGAGGGGGACCGGACCCGTCTTTCGAGCAGGCAGCTGGGTCCGGTCTGCCTTTGTCCGTGCCTGCCATTTTGCCTTTGTCCTCCCAGATTTCTCCAACTCCGACAATTGCTGCTCCGGCAAAGCAGGCGCCCGAGCCTCTGATGCCCATTTTTCCTCACACGGGGGCTTTGGCTTTGTCTGGTTCCGACTCGCCATCCCCAAGAAGCCACACAGATCCCGATGTGGATTTTTCAGCAATCCAACGCCATCTTCTGCACCGGTCTCCACAGAGTCCATGCCAGGGCCTTTTCCTCCGGCCTCCTCGCGGGTCACCTCCGCCATACAGTCAGTTCGGGATTTCAAGCAACCCTTCTTCCTGGACATTTGCGCGGGAGCGGGTTCGCCACTCAGCTCAGCATTCTTGGAGAAGGGAGTACCTTGTTTGTCTATTGACATTCTCATTGACACAAACATGGATCTTCTCCAGGACGACTTCTTTGAGCATTTGCTGCGCATTTGCACGTCTCGGCAGGTGGCCCTTGCACACGCTGCCCCCCCTTGCAGGGAGTACTCCCGCCTGAAACTCCTTCCTGGAGGCCCAAAGGCACTTCGGACTCCTGCATTCCTGAATGGTCTTCCTGATTTGTCGGCATCGCAGGCTCTTAGGGTCCAGGAGAGCCACCTTGTCTTTGTGCGTTGCGTTCAGCTGCTGCATGTCAGCTTCTCTTGCGGCGCGCAAGTGTCGCTCGAGCAGCCCCGGCCTGGATGGAGCCGATTGCGACCAATTTCTTGGCAGCCATCAGTGCGGATCTGGTCCATGTGGCCGCTTGCTCCATCGATCTCGACATGCACAAAGCCTGGCTTTTCGCCACGTCATTTCTTTTCAGGCTTTTGCCTCTACATGTCCACACACCGAGGGGACCCACTTGGCTCTGCAGGGTTTGCGTGATGAGTCCGGCAACTTTTGCAGCCGGGCTTCTGCGGAGTACCCCCCCCCTTTTAGCAGACATGTATGCGGAGCAAGCTCTGCCCCTCTTCGACGTGGAACAAGGGGGAGGTACGGCCCTCTCTTTCGCCTCGGTGCCTTTGCTTTCCAAGCCTAAGGCCCTTCACGAGGCTCCCGTGGCCTCACAGGATGGGGCCGGCATCCTCTCCACGCCAGACTGGAGCGCTCCACCCTCGGGAACCACAGATGTGTTTGCGCGCCTTAGGCCTAAGCTGATGGCCTTTCTTCTTCAGGGTCGTTTCCCACAACGTTTGCGCACTTTGGGGGGATCCGCGGAACCCCTTTTCTCCAGCTCAGAGATAGACGATCTGCGCGGCATCTTCCAGGACTGGCTCTCCGCGCATTTCCCTGCCATTTCCGTCTCCTGGGAAATCTCCGCAGGGCAACCATACTGCCTCCAGGCGCTGGCAGCTGTCTCACGCATTTGCCAAGATCGAGACTCATCCTTGTTCCCCTGTCTGGAACAGGGTGTTCCTACTGGCTTTGACGGGGACATTCCGTTGTCCAATGTCTTCCTGCCACAAGGTGGGGGCCATCCTTTCGAGCAATCCCTTGGCATTTGTCATGGTAATTGGTCCAGCGCTGAGGCGGATCTTCCAACCTTGCATGCCTTAGTGGAAGAGGAGATTTCCAATGGCTGGTTCTTGGAGCTAGATTCTTTGGAAGCGGCTCAAGAGCGTTTTGGCGACATGCTGGCCATTGGAAAGATGTCCATCGTCAAAGCTGAAGGCAAAAAGCCCCGTCTTGTGGTTGATTCCACTGTCTGTGGCACTAATCCGTCTTGCTCAATCCCCGAAACGTACTCACTCCCGCGGGGTTTGCTTTTGACATCAAGTCCGCTCACAAAACGGTTCGAGTTCGCGATTCGGATCAGGGGCTGCTCGGGGTCTCCCTCCCGAGAATTCGAGGTCCTGGCCGTCGTTAGCTTTTTTACCGCGTTTGTCCTTTCGGAGCGAACTTCTCGGCCCTCTGGTTCCAGCGACTGGGAAGCTTTTTCCTTCGCACTCTTCACCTTTGGACCTGGCTCCGACACGCCCTACTGGGCTACGTGGACGATTTCATCCTGTTCCAGGACCAGGAGGTCATCGGCCTTACAGCGTGCATGACATTGGCTTTTTGTGCTCTGTTCAACATACCCCTGTCCAATGCCAAGTTACAGCTTGGCAGCTGTATCCACTGGATAGGCTGGCATTTTTCTTTCGGCTCTGGCACTTTCTCCATTCCGATTGAAAAAGTCCAGAAGCTAAAGCGCCTGCTGCAGGAAGCCTTACAATGCCGCCATGTTTCGAAACGGACCCTGGACAAGGTCACTGGGTTGTTGCAGTGGTTTTGCAAGCTATATAAGCATTTTAAGCCCTGGCTGCAAACTCTGTACGCTGATGCGAACCGTCCATTGGCCACCAACTACAGCATTGACCCTGGCGATTGGCCCGGCTTGGCCATTTGCGTTAACGAGGGTCTTGTCTTCACTTCCACGCCGCCGGGAACGAGCATCCCGACGGGCGCGAAGCTCATTGAAGCCAGGCACTTGGCCCTGCAGTCTAAGACAGACCTTGCCAAAATCCCCACCTCCAAGCGCATTTGGATGAGAGTGACGGACCCCTCCACCACTCGCCGCAAGCTTTCAGTTTCTAGCCGTGAGAGCCTTCAGTTCTGGCTTAAGTGGTGCGAGGTTCCACCCCTTTTCTTTCCTTTGCAGAAACCTGCGGACGTTCCCATTGTCTGCGCTGCTGCCGACGCCCGCGCGGATGGGGACCTTGTCGGGATAGGGGGTTTTATCGAATGGCCTTCACGCCAAATTTCTTGGTTCAGCCAGTCATGGCGTGTCCCAGACCTTTCTTCACTGGGTGTGCCTTTGCAGGTGCCAGCTCACCAGGACATCACATGTTACGAGACATTGGCACAGCTTGGCCTCATTCTTTGTCTCCGCTCCGTGGTGCCCTTGGCACGCTGGACAGTCCGTCTCCGCACTTTGTCCGACAACACAGGTGCAGAGGCAGGCATCAATAAGCTCTACAGCTCGGCTTTTCCTTTGTCGGTGTTTCTGAAACGCCTGTCCATGTTGGCGTGCTTGACTGGCATTGAGCTTGACGTCTTCCACGTACCCGGCGAAAAGAATGATGATGCGGATCTGCTCTCCCGCTGGAGTGACGAGTCCCAGCCCTTGCCTGCCAAGTTTCTTCCGGACTTTCGTGTGGATTGCAGCCTGGCACGCATCTGGCACTTTCGTTCCGATGTGCGTCTTTGGCCTCCAGATGCCAAACTCAAATGGCAGCCGCCATAATCACTTTCCTGAGCTTTGTTGTGAGAGCCTGGCATAGTCTGCGCTCACTTAGAAGTTGGGTAGGTAGGCCCGGCGAGCTTTGACTTTGCCAGTTTGAAAGTTGGTCTTTAACGCTCTGATTTGCTACGCATCATCTGCTTTGCATTCTGCTTTGAACTCTGAGCGGCATTTCCGGCAAAGTCAAAAAGTGGGAGAGCGCGTGGTGCAGTGCTCGCTTAGGCTTAGGATTCCGTAGGCCTTTGTTAGCTTTGGTAGTGTGGCTTGAACTTGCAGCGAACGGGTCATGTGTTTACTCATAGCTGTTTGCTGTTTGAGAAAGATCACCGTACTTTGTCATTTTGGTTCAAGCCACACACCAAACCAGTACAATGCTGGCTAGCTTTACTTTTGACCCACCCACCACTCCCTCTTTGAAGATACGCCCGGGCTTGCATCGTTTCACACAGTTTCACAAGATGCGAAGTGGCATTCTCCTTTGTATTACGCTCAGATTTGCTACGCCTATCTTCTTTGCATTCTGCTTTGAGGTCTTGGTCTTTAACGCTCTGATTTGCTACGCATCATCTGCTTTGCATTCTGCTTTGAACTCTGAGCGGCATTTCCGGCAAAGTCAAAAAGTGGGAGAGCGCGTGGTGCAGTGCTCGCTTAGGCTTAGGATTCCGTAGGCCTTTGTTAGCTTTGGTAGTGTGGCTTGAACTTGCAGCGAACCAGAACGTCCATATAACAAAAAGCACAAATTCATCAGCCTGCGTGGGGTTTCCTGGCATTCCAAAAATCGCTGATTTTCCGCGTCTTGCGTCAGGAAGGCGAGAGCGCGGTGCGAAAAAGTGCAAAACCAAAAATTGTTTGTTTGGCCTTTTTGGCTCAAACCTTGCCCGTTCTACCTTGGACTCTTAAGGTTGTACCCTTGGGTTTTGGCGTCCCTGTTTTGATGATCCCTAAAGAGATATAAGGACCATATTTGGAGTATATTAAGGGGAAATATTAGGGGTACAGTTTTTGGGGTACGAGTCTTCATCCCTTGAGTCTAGCACTGACACCTACGCTGGAAACTTCCAGCTGGAAACTTCTCACTACAGGGCATAAGAGAAGGACCAGGCCTGAATACATCGTAAATAGCATGTTCTCACGTGCTCAACCCCCCCCCCCCCACCCTTCCCCCCACCCCCTCCCCCCCACCCCTCCCCCCACCCCCACCCGCCCCCCCACCCCCCCCATTTTTCAAAAAAAACGTGCTTTCCAGGCGCGTTGAGACAGAGCATAAAAAAAACGGGATACCGAAACTGACCTCGTGGAAAAAACGCGCCTTGTGAAATTCAGCAAAAAACCGCAAATACCGTGGTTCTCGTGTGCTGACACGCAAAAACCCAGGTAAATGGACACATTCCAGGCACGGTCTTCGCAGAAGGCAAGAAGAAACACGTGTCCGGAGGCGCCGAAAACACTGTAAATACCATGGTTTTCGCGTGGTGGGCACGCGATGACCCCCCCCCCCTCTCACCCCCCCTCCCCCCCCATTTTTCAGAAATCGACACACCCTCCACGGCGGCGTAAAGCGCGCAGCCAAAAACAAGAAACGAGGTGAAATTTAGAATATTTCTCTACTCAGCTCTGATATTCAATAATCAACATAAGAAACACAAACAAGAAACAAGGGGGTTGGAATTTAAGCTAGTTCTCTACTCTTCTGATTTTCGAAAACCGAACACAAGAAAAAACAAGTAACGAAGGGGGGGTGGAATTTAGATTAACTCTCTACTTCTCTACTTATTCTTTACTTTCGAATGAAGAACACAAGAAACAAACCAAAAAACGAGGACGACGACGATTACAACTACAGCTACAGCTACAACAACAACAGCAACAGCAACAACAACAACAACAACAACAACAACTACTACTACTACTACTACTACTACTACTACTACTACTACTACCACTACTACCACTACCACTACCACCACCACCACTACTTTCTTCTTCTACTACTACTACTACGACGAGACGACGACGACCCCAACCCAGGGTCTCAATGTTGTTGCTCTCCCCCCCCTCCCCCCAGGGTTGAACACAGGTTCAACCTAGGTTTAACCTGAATTCGAACAACCCGGTTTCGAACCTGGTTGAGCCCAGGTGAACCCAGGTTCTTCGAACCCAGGTTAAACGGAGCTGTCGCAAAAAATCGAACCTGGGTTGAACCCAGGTTCGAACCCCATTTTTTCAAGAGAAGAGTTACCTCCCCGGACCTTAGTGCAAGGATTGTGAAGGGCAAACTTGTATTCGCATTTTCAAGCCAAAGAGCTCAACGCGGAACAGCCAGCCACAGCTGCTTCAAGGCAAAGAAGACACCACAACGTGGTTTCCAGCGAGACGCACGTCATGTGCATCCTGACCATCTGCTCGGATTTTCCGCCTCCACAAGTTTGGGTCCAGAACGATAACTGGAAAAAGTGCCAATGTCTGTGCGAAGGCTGCTAAAAGCCAAGCTGTAGTGAACAGCTGAAGTCCTGTGAATGCGGAGTGCGCTCCGAGAACCACCATGACCCCCTTTCCCATGTTATCGCTGAGGAAACCGAAGTTAGTTCGTGCAACCTGCACGTTACATCCTTGCAAGGGATCCATATCGTCACACGACGTACATACCCCCTTCTAGAAGCAACCTGCTTGGCATCGCCTACGGTGAAACTGGAGCGGTATTCGCTGAGGGGCATGCAGGCTCACAAAGAGGTTGTTTGCCTTGCAACCCACCTTCCCTTCTCTCTGTGCAACTGGGTACTGGGAGTTGGCCACTGCGCCTGATTGCTGCATCACTTTCATTGTTAATTTTGTGAGGGGCACAAATTTGCTTGTGATCCCTGGTGATGCTGCGTGGTACCGCGCAAAGGGGCAGCAGATTTGCACTGCTGAATGAATATAGGTGAGATTCGTTGGCAAAAGTCGGCTACTTCCAGCAATGCTTTCCCTTGGCATGTAATCTCCCAGAATACATTCGGCTAGTAATTTTAGTAGTGTTTAACCCGGCTTCCTCTGTATTCACAAAGCAGACCCGGTAAGGCCCTCTGTTTCATATCTACCGCTTCCCCAGAAACAAAATCCGGGAACCCGAAGTTCAGTTTAGTTGTGTGTGCAAGGTTGTTTTTTGTATGCGTGTCTGAAGCGCCCAGTGGTCCTCGCCAGTTTTCTGGGGTCCGGAAGGGAGAAATTTGGAGATTGGTTTTGTTTAGTTTTTGGGGTTGTCTGGCACGACCGGACCTTGGACCTTGGGTTTTCTCTTTCTCCAAGAGGACGTCACTACTGTCTGTAGTTTCTGTCGAAAACGAAAAGATTATTCCCCCAAACAAAAAGGAAAATCACCAAGGCATTCCAGAGGTTGGGCCGTCCAAGCGGTCCTTATTTTTGGAATTCGTCCTTCCATGGCCATGTATGCGGTTTCAGAACAAGGGCTTTCTAAAATTTAGGATCTGCTTGGAAGAGGGTTCGCTAGCCGCTAGCCACGTGGGTGATGCAAAACCCTGACAGATTGGGAGGATTGTGGGCTTGTAGAAGCAGTAGCGCCAAGTGAGCGAGCAGCGAGCATAAAGCAAAGAATGGGTAAGCTTAATTTTGTGTCAGAGAAGCACGCTTTTTGATGCCAATGGCGACAAATCCTACCAGTGATCCTCTCATCGAGGACCGCGTTTTGCTTCCAAACGGGAGCAAGCAAGACTTTGCACTCATTGCACTCCCCTGACGGGACAGGGACGTCGACGACCGCTCGCGCCGCTTTGGATCGACGAAAACATTCGGCATGTGCGATACCGAGTTGATCATGACAAAATGCCAGCGCATGTGACATTGGAGAGGCTAGATGCTGGTTAATTACGTATCGGCAAGGATGCTGGTTGCGGGTTTGGAAGGCATGTGTGCAACGTAGAGTGACATGTTCTCAGGCAGATTCGAAAAGCGGTGCTCTTCGCCCTTTGCAAGAGGAGGATCGAAGTTTTTGCATTCGGTATGCCAGTTCCGCATCGTGATTCCCTGCCAGCTGTACTGCAAGTTGGGCTGAAGCTTCAGGTTGCTGTGCGATACAAGGAGCTTGTGAAGAGAGAGCAGGCGCAATATCACGTGCTTTTTGGTATTTCGCAGAGTGATGCTCCAGGCCAAGGCACCCAAAGGCTTATGACTTTGGCCACGCATGGGCATATATATATATATGTATATAGATACATGTATATATATATATATTTATATGTATATGTATATGCATGTATCTACGTATATATGTATATATATATGTATATGTATATGTGTATGTGTATGTGTATGTGTATGTATATGTATATGTATATGTATATGTATATGTACATGTACATGTACATGTATATGCATATGCATATGCATTTGTATTTGTATTTGTATTTGTATTTGTATTTGTATTTGTATTTGTATTTGTATTTGTATGTGCATGCGTATGTGTATGTGTATGTGTATATATATACATAACAAGCTTTGCATTGGCAGTCAATGGCAACTGTCGGGTAGGTTCTAAGGCGATCACTGTAGCAAACGCATCCAGGCTCTGGCAGCACGTGAGCAACTAGCCTCGGAAGTCTGCCAGGCGCAGGAGGGGGTTTTCAGGTCGACGACTGCATCACGTTATTATGAGCATTGGCACTGAATTTCATGTGCTCGGACAACGCGAGGCAGTTTTGAGTAATATCTCTTGGAACATTCAGTTGCATGCCGCATGAGTGAATTTCGCGTGTCATGGCGGAGTAGTGTCTCCGAAAGTCAGGAGGAGCGCGAACGAGATTTGGAGGCATTGGCCGTGCGCCTACAGAAGAAGGAGGAGGTGGGTCATGATGAAGCAACGGTTACATGTTCTACGACTGCGAGCGTGATTGCTCTTTGCTCAGGCCAGTTGTATGATCGCTCTTCGTTGCCTTGAGTTTTTGTTACGCTTGCCGTGTTGCCCAAGTGACCAGCGACCTGAGAAGAACACGGCTCATAGAGCTATTTCCGAAGTTTCAACTTTAAAGCTTCGACATGCCACGAAAGCCGATTGTTGGAGGAAATTGGCCCGGGCCCCAGTGTCGAAAGCGCATGTCAAGGTTGCCTTGCCAGACAGGTGACAGGTGTTGGCCAGTGTGAATTGCAGTTCAGACAGTGGGTCACATGGTGCATATGGCGAAAATTCCCGAACTTGTGTATGCTCCGTCCTCTTTGTTTTAAAAGTTTTCCGAGGAAATGCAACCCGAAGACGATCAAGGAAGCCCTGCAGCTTATCCAGGACTGGAAGAACCAGGTGTGGCATTTTGGCACAGTTTTCACACGGCTTAAGCTTGTCGCTGGGCGCCCCTAGCCCTGGCAGAGGGTTATGTTTGCCGTCTACAATTTCGGCTCGTGTTGTGTTTTGCAGAAGTTTCGTCTTGGGTTGAACCGAGAGTTTCTACTCAGTGACACTGACAGCCAGGTTCCTGTGGACAAGAGAAAGATTGAGGTGTTCGCTTGCCCCATGATGTGTAGGGCTCAGAGGAAGTCCCAGCAATGTTTTCGACGGTTCTTGTCAGTTGCAGCAAATCGGCATGATGAGAGAGCTGAGCTTCTAGTATGCTGCCTCCCAGAATTGAGTTCTGCCAAAGTTGAGTTCTGCTGATCCAGGCCCCATCTCCTGAAAGTGAAACAGCCTTTGGAGAAGATGGGTATCTCTGCTTGCGCGCAGAACTGTGAAAGCCTTAGTATGATCAACTGTTGTGCAGACAGAAGCTACTGCAGTGACTGATGTGTGCCAACTGGTGAAAGCAGGGTACAATATGCATGTGTCTGCCGTTGGCAAAGGCAGCAAGACCGGAGAGGGCGCGTTCACCGGAGAGGCCTCCGTTAGATGGGAGTTGCATTCTTGGAGACGGAGTACAGAGCAGGAGAGAGAGAGAGTGAGAGAGAGAGAGAGATAGAGATAGAGATAGAGATAGAGATAGAGATAGAGATAGAGACTGAGTCGCGATAGAGATCGAGATCGAGATAGAGAGCGTTCACCAAGTGTGTGCAATGACACGACGTCCAGTGAACTTGCAGGTCTGCACTCTTTGCAAGACCCTGAAGTTTCTTGTGACAAGCCGTTTGAGGTGAGCGCAGCGCAGCTAAAGGACTCGCGCGTCCAGCGACCGGGACACCAATACGTCGACGGGTTTCTGTTGTGCTGGTAAGTCATCGGCTGTCATCCAGAAGTCAGTCAACCTGTTCATAGTTTCTATCGTTCAGCCACAAAAAGGGTTCATCCATTTCGTTTGAGGTGGACTCTAGTTGGCCATTCCGAGCGGCGCACCAAGTACGGCGAGACGGATGAGGCAGTGGACACGACGAGAAGATCGCATCGTTCCAAACGTTGTTTTGCTGTCGTTAAAAGCCACCGGAGTTGGCAACCCGCAGAGAGTCATCATGTGCCAACATGGAGTGAATCTGGTGCGGATGCGGATCCGCTGCTTCTGCAGGCTTGCCCCTGTCATAGTGTCAGGATGTGGCGGAAAAGGTGGCGCAGGCCCTGGCCGCAGACGTGAAGGTGCCCGTCCAAGAACATAGATTCTCACTTTGATTCGAGTTTTGCAGATTCGTTTACAATTGCAGCATGAGTTGCTTCAACTTTGCGGCATCCTTGAGCAGTGCAAGGTAGTGTTGGCCATCGGGGAGCTGCTGGAGGAACGGGAGGCCACATGTTGCGGGGTTTGCCGCGTTGAGGTATGAGGCAGGATGGCAGGAGGCTTTCTCACTTTAATCGTGCCCCCCGCTGTCTTGCGCACAAGCAGACTCACTGAAGCTTCATTTGTCCGGGGAAAAGCCTTTCGGTGTGTTTGTTTCTTGGTTCGTGCAACAGGAACGGGATTGGGCTTCACAAATACGAATAATTATCCAGTTATAGCATGTCATTGTCACAATTATGCTCATGTTTCGATTCTTGCATGGGCTATATAAGCTCTATTGTTCTTCGGGCCCCCGAACAAATGGGATGGTGAACGTATTATAGGTGAAACTATTCTCAGCTGTAGGTGCGCACTATTTGGAATGATTATTGTTATACTTCAAATTTGAGTGACGTGAAGCATGTTGTCTTGATGAAGAACAGGTAATGTGTGATCAATAATGATACGACTCATATCAGCTTCGGTCACTCCACCAATATTGTTGTTAAAACTTCATACATAATGAACAACATGAACACTATGAATAATATGAGCAATTAGAATAGAATGAAAAATGCAAATCATGAGAACCAAATACTAACCAGTTGCTTGCATTTCTCAATTGTCAAAATCCTCTTTGTTTTTGTGCTTTGGGTTACTATATGAAATATGCCATGTAATGGGACCGGAACATTAATAAACATGTGATCTTCAAACGATGTGGCAGAACGATTTTGGCCGCGTCGGAATTCGGTCACCGTAACTCATGGCGCTCATGGATTTTACTGGTGGGTAAGGTAAGGACTTTGGCGGGGCTAGAGGTGAGGGGAGTTTGGTTTGGTGGAGCTAGGCTTTGGTGCTGCAGGCTTTGGAAGGGTTGGGGTGGGGCGGGGGTGCGGGAGGGGGGACGACCCGCGTCCCATGATGGGGGCAGATGACCAACGGCAAGGGGGTCCAAACGGCTTGTATCATTGTATCTTTCGATATGTGAGTATACGTAGGTACATAGAAATGATTATAACTGTATATGTATGTGTATGTATGTATATCTATACACACCATATTCTAGAACAAGCTGGGTCGTACAGTTGTGTGTTCCCAGGGTGGTAAGACCAATGAAATCAATGAGCGCATGCTCGCCCCGGTCATCAAGAAGGTGAAAGCAGAGGCAAAGCAGCGTTGCTGTCATAATGATACATGCGCCGTTTGCTGCGTCACTTGCAATCAACCGTTGCCATTGTCGCGTTTTTCAGGACTGGAACCGCATTGTCATTGCTTATGAACCTGTTTGGGCCATTGGCACCGGGAAAGTGGCAACTCCCGAGCAGGCAGACAAGAGCCATAGGTAAACGTGCACAGATGAGCGCAGTCAGTTGTGCCGGTTTTGTACTCTGATTCTGGAGGCTGAAGAAACGCATGCTGCGATCCGAGCCTACTTGGCGAAAGCTGTGAGCGAGGAAGTGGCGGAAAAGGCCTGGGCCTGTCAAAGTAGTTTGATACTGTAACTGGTTTATTTACCGTATTCCATGGAGTTGGCCAGTGCACCTTCCGCAGGTCCGAATCCAGTATGGTGGCTCCGTCACTGTGGAGAACTGCCGGCTGCTTTTGCGTGATTTCCATGATTTCGCGGAGCTTGTACAGGAGCTCAGTCCGATGTTCTCTGAGGCGCAGAATTGATTAAGAAGCCCAACATCGACGGCTTCCTTGTCGGAGGCAGATGATGTGAGCTCTGTTTATGTAAGACGCTTCTCCAAGTCTTTTTGTTGTTTGCTGGTTGCTGCACTGGCACTGGGTTTCTTCATGCTCGCAGTTCTTCATTGCATGTTGCAGAAAGAACTATATACATATATATATATATATACGAAAGACATTTGCGCATGTGGGCTTCTTGCAGAGGCGCCTCCCTGAAGCCGTCCTTCATGGAGATAATCCAGCGGCTCGGCTGCGGCTCTCGGCCGTTCCCCGCCTCAAATCCTCAAATCTGCATTTCGCTCCTCGCAGGAAGAGCACGCCGCCTCCAGTGCTCAAGAAACCCAAGTTCTCGAAAATCTCGGACCTGCTTCCCAACACGAAGGTTTCCGGCTTGCAGTGCTTGCAGTGGAGGGCAGAGATGCATTGCAGACATCAAGATGTCGCATGAGCTCCCATCAAAACGCAGTTGTGTGGCCATCTTTCTCTATCTTGTTGTCCGTCTTGCTGTCCTGCCGCAGCATCTGCCATGTCTTAGACTTGGAGGGGTCGGTTGAAAAAGGCGGCCAGCCATCAATCGCGGTCTGCATACTGTGCATGTGGCCGTTTCCCATATCACAAGATGCTTTTTTATGCCGCCAGCAAACACTCGGAAAGGTAACGTGCAACACGAAGGGCAATCCGACAGCTCATGGCACACTGGACCTCGGAGCAGCACTGCCCAACAACACTCTTATTCTCATTTTCCCGTGGACCTTGGCTACCATGGTTTGCGGTGACTGCGCACGGGTTGCTGCTGCGACCGGCTTGTTGAGACTTGGGTGAGGCAACCAATGAATGTCCAGACTTGCTTGAGAAAGTCTAAGCCAAGCAACCTGCAAACGGTCCGCAGCCTGACTATCGAATACTTCAACCTCAACCGTAGACTGTACACTTATTGCTGTCTGCTGAGCTGTTAGGAAAATTTGAGCAATGTTAAATACAACGAGATGTGCTCTGAGGACACGCGGTTGGCGGCGCCTCTTGCGCCTAGCGGGGCGAAAGCGCTCCATCAGCCGGGGCCTGGGGCTGCTGGCGTTCGTCCACAGCTGAACTATGCTCGAAGGGCCTTTCAGTTTCGCGCTTTAGCGATCAGATTTTCGGTCCAAGGACTGTTCGGGTTCAGACACCGTCGGGCTTACCAGTGTGCATGTGCTTCACTTGTGCTTCCCCTCCACGACCGCGAAACCCAGAGATCGTCTTTGATAGGCTCTGAGCTCTGGGAGTTTAAACGTGGTGGTCTTGACATCCCCCGTTGCGCACGTGGCTGGGGGTGCTGACCACCTGCCTGGTTGATGATTGGGTTTCAGTTCAATACGGGTTCTAAAGTGAGGTGCTGAAAATCCAGGTGTTCAGAACCAAAGCCCTCCTAAGGAGCACCAGATGTTTTTCAAGAACAATTCGTAGCTTTTGTAGGGCCTGCTCATGACCACTTGCAACTTATGCGCTTGGTCCTTGCATTGGCACGCCCTTTCCAGTATTCCCTTGTCCCGTCTGCCTGTTGTTCTAGACATTGCTGTCCGACCATCCTCCTTTCGGGGTACAAGGTTTCATGTTAGGAACATTCCCCTTGGTTTGGCGATGCCTTTTGGTTGGGGGGCTGGATGCATTCGGGGTTAGGGGTGGCCTTGGTCTGGATCCAGAAGGCTTGCCTCTTGCCTTTCAGGGCTCGGGTGTCACGGCATTGTGCAAGGTCTCTTGACGACACTCTTTGTCGTGCGTGCTGCGCAGATTGGCCAACTCCAGCGATGGGGAGGCGCGCAAAATGCGGGTGAGTGTTGAACGGATTTGCATGAGGAAGCTCAAAGTGCGCTTCATTCGGAGCGGTCAAAGATACGGCGTTTGAGCGGAGTTTGATGGTGCTTGCGGTGATTTCCCCGAGTTCCATGTCAGGCCTCGTGGCAAAGCTTTCGGATGACCCCTTCTGGCTCTCGGCGGCTCTCCTTGGAGTGGCAGGGCCCTGGAGCTGAAAGAAAGCAGGTATGTCTCAAGCTGCTGCACTGTTGCCCGTCAATGCCTTTGTTGCAACTTCTAGGTGCCGTTGAGAGATATAGGCTTTCCCAAAATTTAGGGTTCCAAACCTTTTGGGGTCCTTATCTTACAGAGGGATCAAAATAAAACATTGAGATGTCAAGATGGCCCCTAACTCTTCGGAAGCTCCCAGATCGGTTCTCTCAGTTCTGTTGTTTTTTTTTTCTCAAGGGTGTTTTTTTCTGTTCCCCATTGGGAGGCCTCCATCCTTTTGCCGGTTCCACGGGTCATTCTGGCCGCGCCAGCAGTGGTGGTCATGCTCTTCTGTGAAGTTGAGCTCCTCGGCAATCGTCTTCCATTCACTCTTCTCACAAAGCATAGGGCGGATGTACAAGGCTATGAGAAGCGAATGATGATGTCTGTCCTGCACTAAGATGACAAAATGAAATGCAGCAATCGATGTGGAAGGCAGTTTAAGGCAACCCATCATCGCCGCATTATGAGTGCAGCCTTCCCGAAAAATGCGACATTCCGTGCCCACAGAACATCATGAAGAACATGATGAGTGCGTTGGTTTGTGTGGAGGTAGGGCTCCTGCCAACAGGTGCTCTGGACACCTCTTCTCTTTGCACTGGCATATTATTGACACCTGTTAAGGAAGCATCACTTGAGCGTGCGATACCATATATTATTACAAGTGCGAACGTGTGAGCGACGCGTGAATAATATGTGTGTGAGCGTGAGAACGAAACCAGTACAAGAAAAGAAGATGAGAAAAAGAAGTAGCATACCAGGAATTAGATGAAAGAAATGTAATGCTGTAAGAAAAGAAAACGGTAACTTGTTTCAATTAGAACGAGGGGGCCAGTTCCCCAATGCTGATGGCATTGCATGTGCAGATTTTCCTGTTCTGCGTCTTTGCATCTGCAAGTTGTGTCTTGCGTTGGCGGCCCGGTTGAATCCCAGTGGTGCGCACAACAGGTCTTTGACATCAAATCAGCTGACTGATTTTCCAGTCGGAACAAAGGCCTCAGTCGATCATGTTTTCAGGAAAGCCACGCATCATGCACCGAGATTTCGTGCCAAGCCTGATGTGAACCTTTTAGTCCTCATCGGGCCGAGGGTAGAACGGTAACCCTGTCTAGCCAGTTTCCTCAAGCAAGTAGCCCAGCGACAGACAAGATAGAACACGTATTCCGAATGCAGTCCGAGCTCGGAACCAGGTTAGAACCTGGCCTGTTCTTTGGTGCGGTGGCATGGCTGATGCAGACGCTGCAACTCCTGTCGGAGCTCATCTGCAGTGTCAAGGCCTGACTCTCCGGAGCAAGGGGGCCAAATTTTGTTAAATTTAGATTTGCAAGTTGGGTCATGGTATGTATGTCATGGTAGTCTGCAGGAGTTTCTGCTTTGCATTCTCCACTCCTGGACCTTGCTCCCACAGCGTGCAGCGGGACGCGATTCTGGAGGCTCGGAAAGGGAAACTAACATTGATGTTGTAAGCTTCTACAAGAATTCCTGCATGGCAAACCAAGCAGACCTTCTGGCAACTTCCATTGCGCGCTTTTGCAAGTCTACTGTGCTGAGGCCCGTCAGGCCTGAGGGCTGTGGAGTGGGGCGCTGCCCTCGTCTTCCCTTTGTGTGCTGCTTGGCTAACAACGTGTTAGGCCATTCGTTGAGCAAGGCGGGCACAAGCTCTAGATGCCCATGCCCTCAGGGTCACTTCTCGCCACTCTTGATGTAGCTTCGCGTGCTGTGAATATGCTGAGTTTATCGCTATTTATCGCTTTCCTGTTGCAAGAGGCGGCCTGAAGAAGTTGCTGGCTCCAGTGCAGGTTTCGAGAGGTTTCGTCTTGGTTTGTTCGGGTATGTCTTCTGCGTAGAACTTCCTTTTCCCTTCCGGTTCTTTTCGCTCGGGCTTTCTTCAGGGGAGCTCTGGGCTTTGCTCCTCGCCAGGCATTTGGGATCGGCACTTCTCCCTCAGCTGGCGCTCTGGCGACGCCAAGGGCCCAAGTGGAGGCCTCCCCCGTTTCGGACCTCTGTCGCAACCTCCGGTCGGCCATGCTCCAGCTCCTGTGCGTTTGTGTGGAAGACCCGTGTCTCAGTCGGTCTATCCGCCTCCTAAACAGCCGGATCATTGCGTCCCTGGATGGACTTCGCCTTGTTCGGAAAAAGGCAGTTTCTCGCCTCGCCTCGCGTGTCTTTCGCTGGGATGCAGTGGCGACATGAGTGCACGTGTGATCACGCTTGCATGCCCGTCTACACTACAATGTATGCAACCAGTGTCGCAACATGTCGTAATCACTGGAAACTGCTCGTGGCCTCACAACCTCCCTCGACAAATTGGGATCCGTGTTTTGATTCTCTCCCCTGCCCCTTGTGACTGTAGCCCTTCCCAATTGAACCTGCATCTTCCCTTGTGAGTCGGCTTCCTGGCTGCGCTGATCACCGCGCGTTTGCTCGAACCGGTTGCTGCTGTAGCTCGCGCCCGATCTGTTGCGGGCCTATGTTTTCCAAGCGATGCGGCGCCGTACGGACTGCTGTGACATGGAGCCCTCCCTGGTTCAGGGGCCGGTCAGTGAGTGCGCAGCTGATAGAAGACTCCCGACATGCGGCCGCGATGCCTTTGCAGATACATCCTGGGAGGAGAGGGAGGTGCAAGGTACCTCTGTCGTTCGGGGATGCAAGCATCCCGGCCGTGTTAGTCGCGCTAAATTGTGCACACGCACCGCTGGATTGCCCAACCAGAAAGTATCCCCAGACCCGGCCCAGAGAGTCCTTGCAGTGCCCAACTGCAGAGTATTGTCCCAACCCCCCGATTTTGGTTCTGTGGCATCTTCGTCCTGTGTTGCGCTCAGAAAGAATCTGCCATGGCCTGCCAGGATGTTGGGGCTGTGTGAAGTGCTCGGATTCAGCTCTGGTTGTGGTTGGGTTCAAGCTCAAAATTTGTCCTCATATGCAAGCTTTAAGTATGGTTTTGTTCTTTGGCTTGGCTTTGTGGTTTGGGTTCGAGGCCCTTCCTTCAGCCTAGAGTCTAGAGCGCCCCCAGCCAACGCAGATACTCTGCCAAAGGTCAACATACGATGTTTGGCTCACATTGCAATTGTCGTTTGATAGCCTTGGAGCTTCAACCGCTGCCAAGTGCAAGATTGAAATTTCAAGCTGGAATTGAAGTGCAGGGTTTGTTTTTTTGTTGGGTTTTGTTTGCGTTCGCTGTGAGGAAAGCTTGGACACTCTTGGGGATGGCATGTTGTGTATGACCTTGCTTCGACATCCTCCCCAAGCCGCTTAAGCTAGGGTTTCCAAAGTTGCGGCTTCAAGTTGAGCAAGCAGTGTAAACGGCCCGGTGTTGCGGCAGCCGAGGTTGCAGCCGTTGTGTACCATGTGGTGGCTATGAGGTGCTTTGCCCGGTTTTGTGCATTACGGACTCCGTGCACGCAAGGCTGGCACATTCGGACTTGATGAGAATTTCGGGTGGGACAGACTCCAAGCCACTTCGAGGTTGGAAAGATGGATGGCGCGGCAACGTCTCCGCCGTGGACTGCAGACGGTCCGTAAGGGGGTACAAACGACATCAAACGACATCAAAGCGTTGAGTTGGCAATCGAACTGTGTCAAACTGGTGTCTAAAATGTCTGCAGAGGCGCTGGCGTCACCTTTTCGTGCAGAGTTCGATGGCAATTTCGGTCGAGCGCTTAGAGTCTTAGAGTGGAAGAGCGCAGCTTCTCAGGGCACGAAGCTTCTCGAGAGGCAACGAAGAACATCAACCATGACAAATGTTTGCCCGGTTTTGCTTCAACAAAGAGATGGCTTTCAAGCCTCAGAATTCAAGGGAACCTGCTTAAGGTATAACTTCCAGGTCAGGGTCCAGGTAGGAAAAAAACCAGGGTCGGTTTCCTTGGGATGGGCTTTGTTGCCACGCAGTGCGTATCAAGGTTTTCAAGTTGTAGTCAGCATCGCACTGGTAGTCAGAAACTTAAGATCGTCAAGGGTCTTGCACAAAGTCTTTCTTCCCCACCTTGACCCATTTTCCATACCGCTCGTCTTCTTGAGCTTTCCATACCGAGAACTGCCAACAGAATCAGCAGCCTGGCCTGGCCAAGCGGGTTCGCCGACTCTCCAAGGCCGTCAGGGCCATGCTGGCCGACATCGCAAGGACAGCTGCTTTCCCCAAATGGTACCGGCTAGGACCTTGCATTTTGGTCCGGGCAGAAGAACATATAAGAACATGCGGCTGGCTGCAATCCTGTCGTGCCTGTTGAACGAAGCTCGGGGAGTAGACTGACGCGTTCCAAAGACGAATTCAGATATGCCATTGTGGTTGTTGATTCCGGGCAGTAAAACAAGGGTTCCACCTTGTTTTTTTCAGTCCATCCCTTTGCCGGGTTTTCGCAGTCACAAGACATAAGTTCTGGCTTGTACGATGGTTGGTTCTTTGGGGTTTCAGCATCGAGCAAAGAAGCTCATTTGAGTATTCCCAGGCAGTCACCCCTGCCCAGGGTCCTGATGGGCGAGGAACGGGAGTGTGGGTAGCATGGGTTCTTGGCGGTGTGAGCCAGTTAAGCGAGCTGTTTCGCTTGTCAAGCATGTTCTGATGTGCACTCTCTACTGTCTGCTAAAGAGAGCATTGCTTCGGTAGGAATTTGGGGTGTGGGGCTGGGCCCATTCGTAAGCATTGGGGTTCTTAGCTGTCGGAAGGAAGTATTGATGTCAAGTTTTGAGAATCAACCTGTAAGAGCCAGGCAAATCATGTTGGCATGCATCTATGTTTCATCTGACCGAAAGCTGTGAGGTTCTTTCTCCTTGCAGTTCATCAACAGCGGAAACTTCTCTGAGGAGCAATTGGCATCTTGGCATCTTTCGTGGTTTTGTCCCTGATCTGAGTCCGCTCCGCTCCGTTGTCACGTCTTAGCACAACTTGTGGCTGCCTGGTTGCCCGCCTTTTTTTTTTAGGCGAGCTTCAAACAGAAGCTGCCGATCCTGCTCGAGGCTCGACGCGGGCTCTTGGCACAGGAGGCGGAAGATGAGGAGAGTCGGAGCGTGTGTCGGCGTGTGTCGGCGTGTGTCGGCGTGTGCATCGAGGCAGTGGTTCGGAAAGCCGCGTTGTCCATTCTTGGAGGAAATGCTGCAGGACCACTTCGAGCTCCATGTCCGCCGAAGCCACATACTGGCAGATAGTTGGGAAGCCTTACAGGAGGCCCTTTTGGACTTTTGGAGCACATGTTGGCGACGCCTGCCGCTGCGCGTTCGAACTTTCACGACGGCAGGCAGCTTACTTGGAGCTCCTTGCGCCCAAGCTGCGCATTGAGTATGAAGGCAAGGGCCCCAGCACTGAGTAACAAGAATGGAGTGCACTGGAGCTGGAGGTGAACAGGCCCAAGATCAAGGCGGTGTTGCGCAGGCACCTCATCCAAAGTCGTGCCGCCTGGTGGATAAAGACAGGGTGAGGTCCATTTCTTCGCCGCAGGACTGGTTTTGTGGCGTCGGCCATGCGCTAGCTGCGGATGCAGGCAGAAGCTGCCATCCACGGCACGGTCACGACTTATAAGATGTTTTGCATCAAGCAGAGTCATGCACCACCGCAGACCTTGCGCTGCGACATGGACGCCCATGTGCACACGAGCACACGGGGTCTCTTTGCTGCTTTCTTGCCAGGCAAAGATGAGAGCAGTTCCATTCTGACAATGGGCAAGAGCAGCAGGAGCCCACGTCATCGTCATGTCGCGCAGAGCACCGTTCTTGGCTTTTGGCTGAGCCTTGATATACTTGTACTTGCTGTACTTGCTTGGCATGTGTGGAAGCTGTGAGTCGCACCCTAGGAACATGTCTCTATCATTCTCGCAACCGCGCCCTTCTCCGTCATTCTCAATCCGCAAGCTGCAAAGCCGATTAGCTGCTAGCATCGTATGTGCAGGCAAGGATCCTTAACTTCACTTCTTTTCACCTCCTTGTACTGGAATCGAAGACACGAAGACTTGGAAAAAGGTATCCACATGAAAGCAAGCACAACTAAAAGGGCGGTGAAACGAGCTGCGGCCCGTCTCAACTGAAACTCTGCAGTCTCTGTTGCCTTGCAGACGCAAGGGCGTTCGCGCCCACAGGCAGTCAATCAATCAATCAATCTCTGGTGCAAGCAGTAGGCCTAGACGCCTAGACCGAGAACTGCAGTCAGTTCGACGCTGTGCAGAGAAGTTCCACTTGCTCCTATTCTCCGGCTTTGTGGGAAGTTCCAAACCGCTTGCAGAGGATGCTGATCCCCCGGCCAGTGCAGAGCAAAGAGGCCGATGGGTCAGCTGAAGGCGAGGTGCCAGAAACTGCCTCAGAAGGCTACAGCACTTCAATGCCTGGTCTGCTGCCACGAGCCAGGGCGCTACCGTGACCTTTTCGTTTGCGGCCGCTTCCTGGCGTTGGCCACGCTCCATGGAGGCCAACTTGTCAAGGAACTGCAAGTCTCTACAGACTCCTACAGCGAACGCTGTAGGTCGGCCTTTGCCGATGCCACTATCTCCGTATCTTGGCTTGCATACATGTGTGGATGTCGCTCAATCCGCTCAATTCCTTTGCAGGCTGTGCAATAAAGCGCTTCTGGAACATCATGTGCCTTTGAATCCCAGGTTTGTGTGCAAATATCTGGTTGGCGCGCCCGTGGAGCTCTCTGATATGAAGCTTTGGACTTCTTAACTGCTTCGCCTTAAGCTTCGCCTAATGTTTCGCCTTGCTTCTGTCCTTGTTTGTGGCTTTGAGCTTCTTCCTTTGCATCTCTGCCCTGCAGAATTCCAGAGAGTATCCAGCGACTCGTGCCTTGCGTTTGAGGCGGTTCTCGGAAATGGGAGAAAAGGGGGGGGGCATGCGATCACGAGTGGGGCCCCGCTTTCGGGATGAGCGTGAACTGGCCTGAGTCGTCTGAGATTTTTCCATCCCATGCACCAAAATGGCGTTTCTTAGCTTTTCCGTTTCGTTTTGGAGTCGCCCTTCGCCCTTTGTGTGGCTGTTGGTGTGACGGTTTGATGGCGCGTGCTAGCGGCTGTGATTGTGTTGTCCTTGCATGAAAGCAGTTGCCACTTAGTTGACTTGCCAGAGTGATCCAAGTGTCCGAAGACACTTGGTAAAGTTATGCTACAGGGTAACTTGAAAGAAAGGACTAATAGAACCCTGGCGCAAAGATCCACCTAGAATTCGAGATCGTTCGTGAAGATACTCGGGCACCTATAGAAGCGTTGCGACGCAAACTCCTACACCCGAGCAAGTCGTTCCATTGTGCTGTGCTTCCCAGGAAACATCTGGACAGTGATTTCTATCGTCAGCGAGCAGGGAGCCCAGCCGCTTTTTTCCACATCTTTGGATTCAAGTTGGGCACGAGCAAGTGCAGGTTGAGCCCCTGCTGCGCCCGAATGGTCTGGAAGAGGTTCCGATTCGAAAGTTTTTGTATTTTAAAAAATAATACTAGTACTAATACTAATAATAATAATAATACTAATAATAAGAACAATAATAATAATAGTAATAATAATAATAATCATAATCAAGGCTTGTCATGTGTTGTCATGCTCCTTGGGGTTTCGCCTCGCCCGCTCCGATGGTAGCAGGTAACGACACTGTTTCCAAGAGATGTGGGGCTATCGACTTCCGCATTTGTAGTAGGTTTTTTCGGGAGCACCCCGAAGGACTTGACTGGTCAAGTTAGTACGAATGCCAGCTCTCGAATAGCATGCTTGACATGCAATATTGATGCTAGCAAGCCCCAGCTCGGCGGGGCTTTCCTATGTGATCGCACCGAACCCTTCAAACAGGAAACCTCTATCGGGTGCGAGGCCGAAATCTCTGGTCTGAGCTGTTGGAGGTCTTTGCCCACAGGTCCAATAGGTCCATGGAGTAGGAGGTTTGCAGGTCCGTAAGAGGTCCAAGAGGACATAGAATTTGTTGATGCAGGAACACCCAGCCCTCAAGTGTTGAATGACCCTAGCGACAGGATGACACAACTTCAAGTCACAACCTGCGCATGTGTGCCTCCAAAGAACAGGGCAAGGTTGCGATACAACGGTAGTGTGCAAAGCGCGGAGGTTGCGGTACCCATGGTTCGGAACTCTTGGTGAGGACGAGAAAATAAAGGCACCGCATGCCTTCCCTATGGACCTCGCTAATTTTATCGCTAATGCGAGGCCGCCTCGGCAAGGGTACCGAGGCGGCAGGAAGGGGTAGTGGGGGTGAGGGGGGGAAGGCGGCATGCCCGTCCCACAACAAACGCAGGGAGGGTGGGGGTGGGGGGGGGGGGCAGGGGGGGGGGCAGGGGGGGGGGCATGTCGGATGCAAGCGCTCGCACTGCTTGTTGCTTGCCAGCTATGTACAGGTTCGGTTTGAGGTGTAAAGTTGAAAGCTTTAGGGGGGCTCCCAGATTTGGCTTCGCGCGGTGTCAGGGGTGGGAAGGGGAAGGGGGGTGGGGGGGGGGGTGGGGGGGGGGGGTTAGGGCTTCGTTTTCAGGCTTAGGGCTGAGCAGGCTTAGGGCTCAGGGCTTAGCTACGGGGCTTAGGGGCGGGGAGGGGGGGGGGGGGGGGCCCAAATCGCCCTGGTCCTGCCAGGGGGTGGGTACACTTCTTAGTGGTTCCCGAGACTTGGATCTAAACGCCTCAGGCCTCGCCTCGGCGGACTTTTCTTGCTGCTGGCGGTAGACTACATGTAACTGTGTTCAGTGCCCCACGATGTCCGTGATCCTGCGAGTGCGTCCGTACGGGATCATAGTTCATCGGAGTCCATAGGGGTAGGACCGAGGAGGAGGTCCAAAGGCGGGGAAAAGCTCCTCAGACTTGTCAGGGAGGCGGATCCAGGAGTTGTCGTCGCGCAGCAACCGGTGGCGTGCAGATGCGATGGGTGTAGATGCCACAAACTTTTGGAGATCTAAATATGCAAAATCTCTCCAAGCCTCCAGGCTCTTTTGATTTTTTCGATGGGTTTCCACCTTTTCATGTCCACGCCTCTCTCTCTCTCTCTCCCTCTCCTTGTCGTGTCAAGTCCGCATGCTTTACACGTTTGCACCCGCTGGCGTGCAACGTGACGAGCCGAAACTGGGGAGATCTGGGGAGCCTTGGAGTCTTTTGGAGGTCGAGTCTGCTTTGGGCGAGCCTTTGACTTTCTTGCTCTTTGGATGCAGTCAGGGCATCATGAGGGCATCATGAGGGCATCATGAGGGCATCATGAGGGCATCATGAGGGCATCATGAGGGCATCATGAGGGCAGGATGGCTCGGCATGTGCGTTGTGCAAATCGCGCGGCCCCAGGTCCGTTCCCACTGAGCTGAGACCAGCCGAGGAGCGAAGCGTGAGCCGAGCGTGAGCCGAGCATGAGTTTTGTTCATTGTTGTTCGCGTGGTGAGGAGCTGGAGCCTGGCGGTGCCTCACGTGTAGTGAACAAGCAAAACCTTCACAGGCATCTGGGCCAAGGTGGGCATCAGGGCAGACACGTCTACAAATTGCTGTGGCAGGTACCTGGTCCTTCTTTGCGAGGCCTTCCTTTGCAGTGAACTCCGTGAAGAGCTGCAGCCTCTTAGCCAGCACAGACTGTCCCCCTGCTTTCGATGTGCGCCCCGTTTTCGCTGTTGCATTTCTGAGGTGCCTGGTGCAAGGCTTCTGGGACGTCTTGCCCCTGGAAGCCCTGCGAGCAGCCCATTTGGAGGCCCGAATTTGTGGCAATTGGGGAATCTTGGGGCTTGGCGCTGCTGCCTTGAGAGGCCAGCGACCTTGCAATCTTGCTCACTGGATCCTGCGGTGTGGTGCCGCGCCAAAAATTAGAGCCTGTCAGGCTGCAGGCTTGTTATGGGGGGCGGCCTCTTTGCGATTAGGGTTGTAGATGTAGCAAAACGCAGCAGTTGCTCACTCCATACATCTCCACAAGCTTCGTAATAGATCGTCATTTTTGTTTTGTGTTCATCATGGGTCTGGGTCTTTCTGCCGCAACAATAATTTAAAGGGACTTGTGCGTCAGAGGGGTGCGGGTAGCACGAGCAGCATTGGTATGCTTGAGACGTCAGTCACCGATGCTCGGTTTAGTGTGAAGTGTGTGGATTGTGCACATGATGCCCGATCTCCCCATCCTGAAGCATGAATATTGCCGGCATGTAAGCGGATCCAAGTGTGGATGATGCTGATTTTTTGGACCCAGCAGAGAAGGAGAAGAAGGAGAAGGAGAAGGAGAATCAGAAGGAGAATCAGAAGGAGAAGGAGAAGGAGAAGGAGAAGGAGAAGGAGAAGGAGAAGAAGAAGAAGAAGGAGAAGGAGAAGGTGAAGGAGAAGGAGAAGGAGAAGGAGAAGGAGCAAGAGCAAGAGAAGAATAAGAAGGAGAAGGAGAAGAATGAGAAGAAGAAGCAGAAGCAGAAGCAGAATGAAAAAAAATAGCAAGAAGAATAAGAATAAGAAGTATCCACGGTATTCTATTTTCGGTATTTCGGGTATTTTGGAAACCCTCCGAAGTTTGACTGAACATTTGTGCACGTGCCAAAAGTGGCAAACTCATTGGGTTGTTGCGTTTGTGGGCGGGAGGTGTTTGAGGTATCTTGAGGTATAGATTGTAGATAGTTACAGATAGTTGTCGCAGTAGCGCGGGTCGCTTGATGCAGCTGATTTTTTTGAGGATGTCGGCGAATGGCGCCGCTGCAGCGAGGAGCAAGCGGACGCAGGCATCCCCTGGCTTGCCATTTGTAGAATTTGTAGACCCTTGGACGTTTGCGCCATCACTCGCTAAAAGCTCAGCATCGTGGCAGGCCTCGTGATCTCCTGGTTTTGGGAGATAGTGGAAGACACTGAGCTTGCAGACAAGTTGACAGCCTAGCGGCCTAGCATCCAACAGTGCTGTCATGCCGTCATGCCCCGTCCCCTCGGTACACGAGGAGATGCCGGAAGAGCTTCGGCGACAGCTTCTCCGCCGCCTGGCTGGTGCTTCATGTTCCGAGCACACCGGATACGCTGTGATCGTTAGGGGGGTGGCGTCATGATGCGTCATAGCAAGCTTTACGCCCGAGTACGCTGTGCGATGTGCGAAGCATGGAGACCTGTTTGTTCTTGCCGGCTTGGTCAGTGCCCAAGGCTTCGCCACTGGCAGCGCTCGGCTGCGTCTCGTTGCAAGATGTCGCACGACTTCCCCACCTTGGTAGGAAATTGTATGTTAGTTCACGTTATTTCGACCTCGGTTAGCCAAGGCCACCAGGCGGCTTTGCAGCCCTGAAGCCCCGCTTTGCCGTGGCGGGGTGCGTGTGTGCGTGTGTGCATGTGCGTGCGGGCGTGCGTGTGTGCCTGGACCAAGGGTTGTAACAGATGCATTCATTTGAGTTTGGTGGCAGGCAATGACGAGACTAAAACTAGCCGAACAGTGAGTGCAGTGCTTTCAAATTCAGGCATACTTAATTGTAATCCCCAGGGGGCCGGTGGGCCTGTTTTGGGTAACCAGGCACCAACTTCACCCACCCTATCATGCTCATAAGAAGAAGTTTCAACTGTTTTTCCGTTTATCTAATTCTTTTGCAAGCCCTGAAACCCAGATTCTGTTTGGTCGGGAGGCTTGAGGCTCCCCCCCGCGCCCCCCCTCCCCCTCCCTCCCGTTACAAAGTGCTAATGTTGATCATGTATTTTCACATGGTTTTGCTGTGAGCTATTAGTGCCGATCTAACTTTCTGAGATGCTTCTTGCATCAATGGTTGGTTGTAATATTTTAACGAGTGTTAATCCCATATAGTTCTCAATCGCTTCTGTTTCTTTTTGGTGAGATGCTGGGGAAGGTCACTACGAACACCGGTTGATACATAGTTCTGGTTCAGGGCATGTTTTAAAACCATATGCAGGTGTCTACATTCATGTGCTAAATGATGTACCGTCGTGATTTTTGCGCGTGGTTTGCGCATTTGTGTTATGCAGTTACATTACGTATACTGCATACGCAGGTGCAAGGTTTCTTGCTGTAGTAGAAATGTAGCATGTGCAACATCGATTGCCCTTCTTGCACGGCTGCTTTTACAGAACTTTTGAGAACGGCCTAGACAAAGTTCACTAGGTTTATACGTTATGAGATATAACTCAAACAGTGATGATTTTTTAGCAATACAATTGAGCAAGATATTGTGTGTGCACAAAAACCAAACGGATTACACACATAAAAGACAATAGCAGAAGTTGAGTTAGGGGGGCAATGACACATGATGCAAAGCACGTACTAGTAGAAATTTGATTTCAATCAAGACTGAAAAGATGACCGAATGAACATCATTCCCACACAGCAGACTTCAGTCGAATATGAGTTGGTATTCGCTAAGTACAAGTCGTTATTGTGTTTATCATTGCTGTTCTTCCCGCCACGGTCTGGGGCTGTTCGATTCCAGCTCGGGTGTTCCTCGAGACTCTTGCAAAGCATATCTGGAGACGCCCCACAAAATCCTGCAGACAATCTCGCAGAGTACCCTGGAGGTCAACCCACGAGAATCCCGCAGAGTCGTAGACTGCCGTGCCCTTGCCCACAGAATCCGGTAGAGAATCGCTGGAGTGCTCTCCCCACAGATTTTCTGCGAATCTCCAGCAGTGATTCCCCAAAGAGAGCCTTCCGCAGGGGGAAGGAGCCAGCCTTTTTTTGCCTTGTATGTATGTATGTAGGTATTTCTCATTCAGTATTCAATTTTTTAAAGTTGTATTTTCGTTATTTCATGGTTCCCGCTTTCGGTGTAGGCTTGCTAGATTCTAAGCCTACCGTTCTCCTCGCCTCACCCCTCAGAGAATCCCGCACAGCCTGTCGAGTTTGTGGGGAGTTCCCACACCAGCCCCAGAAGAACCCGCCAAGAGCACAGCCAAGTATCGTTGGAGCGCCAGCGAATCCTGCACGAGAGTCCCGCCGAGAATTCCTGGAGTGCCCACAAATCCAAAGACTTCCGGAGAGCCCTGCGGCGAAGGGCATGGCTCCGGGTTTAGGGATGTTAGGGTTCCCGGTCAAGTTCGCAGGGTTGGGTTGTTCCGCTTCGCCCGGTTCCGTTTTTCGTATCTGCTTCGATTCCCCGCGGCTTCCCTTTGCTTGGCAGTCGGCGGTGTCTCGAGAGTCCGCTTTGGCTGAGAATCAAATAAGGCAGGCTGGGTAAGGCTGGCAATATCTTGTAATGTCGGTCAGGTTGTATCTGCCGCTGGCTCGGAAGAGCATCTCCCGCATGCGCCGCGGATGCATTCCTCCAACATCGCTACCAACTGCTTTTGTTGTGCGCTGATGTTGGCTTGCTGCGGAAATCGGTCCATATCGGTCCGAACATTCCCTGCGGACAAGGCTCATACATGCATCAACCAGCTTGTGCTGCACAGGTGCCTTGCCTGGAATCTAGCGTGCAGCAGCTGACATTTTTCTTGCTTGGAGTGCAAGGTATGCTTCAAAGGAGCAGTTGCGCTGCAAGCTGAGCAAGGCCTTGCCAACAGAGAGCTTTGGATTTGCATAGGGCGTAGGAGAAAGACACAGCATGCACGTCAAGTGTCGTGGAGACTGTTCTGCATCATATCACCCTTTTCTGACTGCACTTGCGCATGCTGTGGCTTTCAAGCTGCCATAATTTGCTGGGACAGATGTCCCTCTTGCATATTTACCAGCGAGCGGCCTTTTGTTCCACTTTGTTGGCATGTTTGTGTTGTGACGTCTTCGCATTCGCTGAATCTCAACAAGAGGTTGCTTCTTTGAGGGCTTCGCAGTTTCTCAGCTTCGCAGATCAAGCATCAGGCACATCAAGCACATGCCTCGGGACAGATGTCTCGTATAAAGACGTCAGCAGATGCTGCTACAGGCGAAACCCTTGCTTCTTCCACAGCCGTTTGCTCGCACCGTGGTTTAATGAAAATGTCCGGAGAAGTCCAGGCGATACGGGAATCTCGATACTGTGCAAACGGCGCTTTCTGTACTTCAAGTTGCCATGTGCCCACACCTGGAGCAGAGTGCCTTCGGTGATGCAAATACGCATTTCTCACTCATGAAGGTTTACTGCCTTTCAACGTATGTTGGCTGCAGTCCTGCTATGGTCCTGCTAACTTTTTGGTATTCATGAACCGGTGTAGACTGAGTGTAGAGTTCAGCTGATGCAGAGCCGGCAGAGACCCTTGCAGCTCTCGCCCCCTGTGTTCAGATGCGTTTGATTCGAACCGACTGTTTCTTCTCGCTGATCACCTAGCCGTTGGAGTTTGTGCTCTTGGTGTCCTCGACAGTGGTCTTTCGGGGTGCAGGGCTTGGCATGCCTGTCGGTTTGCACGGACAGAATGGATGTTTCGCATCAAGCTCGCATGACATATGGTCGCACAAATCATGAAGTGTACATGCGGGGTCACCGTGCCAGTGTCCATGTTGTGTAAGTTGCAGAAACTCAGAGTGGCAGGCCGCCAGAAATACTAGTGCTTCGCACGCCGTATCACGATGTTTATGGAAATTTCGACCCTGGAAGATGCAGAGAATACAACCTCGGCATGCGAGCATGTAGCCTCATCTGGGACATTGTGGGCCGGCTTTGTTGAACTCACCCTACTCGCCCCAGGCAGACAAGTCGGTGAGGTTCGGCGGTGTTTGGTTAGGGCCTTGAAGCAGGAATGTCGTGTTTCGATCACAAGCAGGACGCAGAGAAGGGCTTCAGCTTTTTGTTGAGTGGCGATCAGTTCTGCCACGACAGTACAGGCTTCCCTAGACTCAGGATTCGGAACAGAACATGCCACGTCACTGTGAAGCACTTCGACGAAACAGTTAGGTTGGGTCGGCACACTTGTTGAATTCCATGATTCTATGTGCTTCGAAGGAAACTTCCGGAATTCTGAGATCGTCCGTGTCTGGCGGGTCGTTTAGATTGCTTTTTAAGTCGCATCACGCCTGACAGACCGAAGAGGGAACAGGTTTTTTCTCAGCATGGGTGCAATGCTAGCCTCGCAAGGTGCAGTATGTAAGCAGACATGCAGCCTAGCAAGACTCTTCGACCGCCACTTGTCACTTGATGATTTGGGTCGGTTCCACCGATGAATCCTGGTGAAGCGGATAGAGGTTGTCATAGGATCACCAGACGGCATTATCCCGCAGTGTGTGTTTTGCGGTCCTCGCTGCATTCGGATAAGAACAGGGAGGTAAGATGACGCAAGCCATGTCGACTGCGGTCCCGTTTGAATTGTTGTCCGTTGTTGTTGGCTATGTGTAGCAGTGGTTGGATGCAGCACCTGCAAATACAAGAACCGTCGGCACGATCCGCGAAGGCTTGCAGCAATTGCAGCAATGACTGAGATCACTTTCACAGACGTGGAAGCTCAGGCTTCCACAGTAGGGGAGACCGAAAAGCTGAGATGTACAACGACAAATTGATTGCATTACAGTGGTTTGTGCATTCGTACACCGCGTGCCCAATGTAGCGGTCGTAACTGCTCGCTTTTGGGAAGCCCCCCCTGAAGGCTAAAGAAGGCTTGTGTGGGAGACTATCCACAGCTGCTGCTGAATGAGGATAAAAATTGTCCGCGAAGCTGTTGCATTTGTCCATATTTGTCCCTTGTCACCCAGAAGGGCGCCCAGAAGGGCGCGGCCAGAATGTGCCATGCCAGGGCTTCAACTGCATGCTCAAGTGCACGAAGGCAGCCGAGCAGGCATGGTGTGAAGCACTTCGGAACTTAGTGGACTTAGTACTCAAGTCGCGTGCTGTTGCCACCTGAAGGTCGAGGGCACGGAGGGTGTTTGGGAAGCTCAGTGCGGCGATGACACAGGCAATCCAGTACTTCTGTGGAGCCTTTTGTCTGAGCAGGCTGAGAAGCTTTAAGGATCTTCTTGTGACATTTGTGCTGCATGGGCAGGTGTATGCACGATCTCCTTCAGGAACAAGGCCCGCTAGTCGAAACACCAGGAACAGCAAGGCTGCTCAAGTGAGAGGCGCTTGCCATGCAGTGGCTTGGTCCTGATGCCAGGACTTGGCCGACGTGTGCAAGGTTGGCGCGTCCATCAGGAGACCCCGAGTGCATGCATTGTTCAGAACGATCACACTGCAAAGGCTTGCAAACAAAAGCAAACACAAGCAAACACACAAAAGACCCACTTTGAGCAACATGAGTGCAACACGCCATGTGAGTGCAACCTTGAAGGTGAGCAGAGGGATGGAAGTAGTGGCCATGCGGGAGGCTCTTGTGGGCCATGCAATGCCAGGATGCAGAACACCTCAGTGAGGATGGTCAAGGGCTACATCCGAGTGGTCGTTGACAAGTCCGAGTCTTTGTGCCTCTTGAAGCGAACTTTCGAACTCAGCTCAAGTCAGCAGTCTGATCAGCCCCGGGATTTCAATGATTCTCCCAACGTGGGCACTTCGAAAAGCTTGCTGCCGTTTGCTGCCCTCCTGCGGATTCCTGCGGTGTGTATGACGTGCCTCACGCGCTGAAGGTGGGCGGCGTTCAAGCCTGCGGATGAAGCGTTGGAGTTCGAGGCCCGAGGGCAACACGTCCAGAGAACCTTTGCTGCCTGAGATTCTGTTCGAGCTTCTGAGCCTCTCTGAGCCCTTCTGAGCCCCACATAGCAATGTAACAGTGCTGTGTCACAGTGCCCTGCCATCGCAATCGCTTGAGCAGGCAAACGCAAAGAACGACGTGTCGGGTGTCGAGTACGAACTTGTGGAGACTTAGAAAAGAAACTTGTGTGTTCCTGACGGTGAGCCCGCAAACTTTTGTTCGCTTTGGCCGCCGGACTCTTTGAAGGGCTGTGGAGACGGTGGGCATTGTGCAGCCAAGGAATCCTGA